CAGCAGGTGGATATTGCTGACTCTACACGGAGATTAAGCATCTTCATGAGAAGTCTTGCAGACCGTCTGGAAAACACCAAAGAACTGAGATCCTCTGACATGAAGAAGGATTTCATAATGAACCGATTACCACCTTTCCTGAGGAATGGCTCTGCTCCCTTGGCTCCAGGTGGCATTTAAGTTTATTATTGATTCCCTTGGGGGAGGATTATGATTGTTCCCTGCATTTGGTAGCACTAGAGGCCTCAGTATGCGATCAGCTCCCCACTGCGGTAGACACTTTGCGTGTACACCGAATACAGTCCTTGTGTGTAAGATGGGACATCAGATGGATGCAGCAGACAGATGGGAACACAAAGTAGCAGTGAGATGGCTGAAATTAGTGTAATGAGCTATGGTGACAGCTAATCAGCTGCCCATCCATGGCACTTGGCCACTGGAAGGGATTTCAGAAGTTTTGCAGCAAGTGCTACCAAGTGATTGAATCACAGGAGTTGCCTGGGTTGCTACAGTTCTTCCTGTGCTTTTACTCTGCCACTGACCTCATGTGTGAACCCTGGCAAGTCATTTTATCTGTGCTCCAGATTCAGTTTAGCCTGCAGCAAAATGGATTAATACCTAGCCTGCCAGAGAGGAGGGATGCTATGAGGCTTACCTAATGTCTGCTTTGAGATTCATAGATTAGTGTTAAATAGGGGTAAAGTGATGATTCATTACATAGGATTGAATTTTGACATAATTGCTTTTCTTTTGAAAATAAATGAAGCAAATGTTCAATGTTGCGCTTAATTGTTAGAATTATGTATTTATCCTGACTGCATATTGCTTTAGCTGGTGGAGGTTGTTGCTAATATGCGAACTTGATGTTGTAGGTATTTGTATCTGATGAACACAAGTATGCATGCCTCAGAATTTGAAATGAATGCTCTTCCCTCCCTGAATTTGAGACTGAGCAGAAGACACAAGTAGAACTATTTGTGCCTCATTTTTTTTAAGCTATTGGAAGAAAATGCTTAGCAAAATTCTCAGCAAAGGATGGTTTAGTTTCCTTCCTTTCTGAAGGGCGGTATATTTTTCTTTTAGGTGGACAACTACCAAAATTAGACAGTACAATCAGATTGCGGTTTAAAGATCATGTCGTAATGACAGTGGAACCTGATCAAGAAAAATCTGTAAGTACATAATGAAACTGCCTGCATAGATTCCAGAGGAGTGTGGTTGTGATGCTAGTTGCATTGTGCTATGAGTATTTGTCTAGTTGCCTCACAGCATCTGTTTGGGATTTGTCATGAGACTTCAGCGATGTAGTACAGTTCTGTTCTACAGTGCACAGTGTTTTAAGTTTGGAGTTCTGCAAAGAAGAATTACTCGGGGCTTTTGTGTACCATGCACAGGGCTTTCACCAGGAATTGGCTACTGGCCTTAAAGCCAGGAAAAGCCTGGTACCATATCTTCAGATAACTTTTGCTGCTCTTTAGCAAAGGAGATTTGCTTTGGAAACACATTCTTTTCAAGATAGTTTAAATAGGTTTTAAAGGTACTTTACCTCTTTGTGCTTCAGTTTTCCCATCTCTAAAATGGAGAGATGGATGGATGCTTACCTCCTGTGTAAAGAGCTTGAGATCTGTGTGTGAAAAGCACTATAGAACAGTAAGAGGGTACAGCTCTGTTTACTTCAGTGGGGCTGCCATTGTCTGCATTATGATGGTAAGTTATCTTTGGTCCTGCCATGGGGGCTGTGGGTTTTGAGCTGTTCCATGGAGATGGTAAACCAAGGCCAGATGGCAGGGGGTTTTTTGCAGAGGGAAGAGAGCTAGTGGAGAAAAGAACAAGATTGATGGTCTTAGAAACTAGTCTTCTGACTACAGTACAGATGCAGCAGGTATTACAAGCTTCCTTGCCTTAGTAAACCCATCAAACCAAGCACAGCTTGCTATTAGGATTCAGAGGGCAGATGATTATTTCATAGCAACTACCAGTTGCCTTTGGTAGACAGTTGCCCCCCAGAATCTGACCAGAGGCCTGAAATGTAAGAAATAGTTACCTATCATCGTTGGCCTAGCCCTGCTCTGAGCCTATAATGTAGACAAGGTGAGTAGTCTAACAAACCATCTGGTCAGATGTGCATGCTGAAGAAAATTCCAAGTTATAAATAAGTTCCAGGCTATTGTCTCAACCTATTGATGGCATTAGTTATGGAGGCTCTATATCTACTCATGAGCCATTCAGCCTCAGGTGGTCAAGAAGAAACTAGATGCCTGCCTCACACCCACATCTGGTCAGCACTGTAAACTGAAAAATAGAAGTCTGTGAAAGTTACTTTTCCAAGAGAAGCATTCTGCAGCCTCGCCTTCACTAAAGCAGGTGGTAGTTGGGCTAGGATGGTAAGAGTTCCTGGGTTACCCTTAAAATGAGCTGTTTACGTCAGGAAGTAATTAGAGACTTGTCTCCACTAGGGAGAAGATTAACACTGCTGCAGTAATTCGTCTGGGATTCAAATTAGCGGGTCCATTGAAAACCTGCTAATTTGAACTGAGACGTCGCTCCCATTGGCACTAATAATTCTGATCCTCATGAGGACTAAGGCAAGTTGATGGGCGTGTGTGCGGCTGGTGACCTCCCACTTTGTGAACGGCACCAAAATGTGATTTAAGATACTTTGACTCCAGCTACATAATTAACGTAGCTGGAGTTGCATATCTTAAGTCGACTTTTCCTGTTAGTGTAGACCAGGCCTAGATGTGGTTAAAGTAATAAACTTACACTGTCTTGCATGAGAATGGTTTTCCTCCTGCTGTCTCTTAGGATGAGCTTCGTAAAGAGATGGTTTATGTCTATCACTCTTTGAAGAACAGGAGAGAGAGGCACATGATGGGGAATGAGGACGATGACATTAGTGAAGACGGGATTTCAGAGGTTTGTTCTGATTAGTAAGATGCTCTCATCAGTGCTCTGTGTGCCCCTTAACCAGCTGTAAATATATAACAGAGCTGACTGTGCCCTGGGAACAAGGATCTCTACAGCATCTCATGTTTAAAATAGTAATTACCCAAGTTTGGCTTCATGTAGATTTGTTCTGCAAGGCTTAATTCACTTTTTCTCTAGCCAAGAGGTGCGGGAAGATTAGCTGAAACTCATTGTGCGCTCTGGTCCCCTCTCCCTCTCTAAAGACTAGTTCGACATAAGGGGTTGATGCAAGTGGGGCCATACTGCACCCAGGTCTAAAGGCTAGCCAATATCGCTATTTCACGGCTTGTTTTAACACTGCAAACGTTCACAGTAAGTTGCATAGTTAACTCTTCAGAGATAAGTAGCAGTTTTCCACCTCTAGATCTTTGTTTCTCTTTTGGCAGAACCACATTAGTCCCTGTTCAAAAGGGATTGTTCTGAGCAACCTCAGAATGGGTTTTTTTTTTTTCAAATGCCCTTTTACAGTCTGTAGAAACCAGACTCAGTGTTGGCGCTGTCTGACCCCCATTTTTTTTTTTTTTTTCAAATGCCCTTTCACAGTCTGTAGAAACCTGACTCAGTGTTGGCACTGTCTGACCCCCGTAGTTGGGATGCTGTGTAATTTTTTTAAACTCATGCAATAATTAAATTGTGTGCCAACAGTGTGTTATGTATGAATGTGGGTTTTTTTTTAAATCTAAAGATTTCTTCCTTCAGACATCATGTGACTGGTACTTTTATTGCTATGCCTGAGGGGTTCTCCCTTTCTTGGGTCATCCACACTGATCTGAGCAACAGTGCTACTAATCTTTGCTTCAGCTGAGACCATGTCTGCTTTTTTGAGCAGAGCGGCAGTGCAGGATTCCTTAAAAACAGCTATGTTATACAAAATAGTTAGAGCCAAAAGATAGTGTAGACTGGTTGTCTAACTTGTTTGTGCTTTGGTAATTGGAACATCTATCTACACAGCAACATTATTTTGAAACACTGTCAAGCTGGAAGACTTCTTAGTCCAACTCCTGTAATCCTCATTGTACAAGGAGTAAGGGAAGTCCGCTCTAAGTGCTGTGTAGATGCTCCCAATTTCAAAATTGATGTAGCTCAACTTGCGTAGCTTATTTCACGTGAAGGCCCTGCTTTATGCTTTACAGCTGTCCTCATAAGAAACAAATGACAAGCAGGATGGTGCAATTCTATAGCCCAGGTACAGCAAGCAGGGGGAGAACACACCCACTCTTGTGGGAAAGACTTTGTAAAACATCCCATCTTGTGCATGTTTTAAGTAGAGGGTCACCCTTGCCTGATTTTTCTTTTTGTAATTTCCTTTTTAGACTCATGGATTACGTTTTCCTTTATCACACATGGATGCCATGAAGCAAATCTGGAGAAATGCGACTGTTGCTGTTAAAGAATTGAGCCTTAAGTCAGATGCAGAGAAAGAACACCTTGTCTTATCACTCTGGGCTGAATGTCTCATTGAGGTAATATGAATCTTTCAAAAATCAGCCTCACATTTCATCCTTGGAGGACAGACCAACCATCAGATTCCTCCTTTTCCAAGGAGTTGCTGCCTAGTATGGAGAGCAATGGCAAAAGTGTATATTGTACTTTTTAATGATGGATTTCTTTTTTAAAAAGGCTTTACAAACATCCTCTTCTACGTGCCTTAGGGAAATCTAAATCCAAATGATAAGGATAAGTTAGGCACAGGAACATCTATCTGTAGCAGGAAAGGAGAAGAATCGGTCACATCACAGCACCTGCAGACAGAGCAGTGAAGCCTATGTTTATCAAATGTCACTGCACATACTTGTAAAAGTCCTTTGTACTTAACTTATGTGCCCTCCTGGAAGGAGTGGGTCTGTTTCATTACTGCTAAAACCAGGAGTTAAACAATCACCAAGGAGTTACAAATTTTGTTGGTAAGAGTCTCTGCACTGTAGCCCATTTTCTATCACTGTGGTTCTTTCTTGCGGTCACTCCACATACATATCACTAATATTAAACTTAGTTTTTATTCATTAGCTGTTTTCTAAGAGTGACGTTCAATGCTTTTGGGGAAACTGAGCCTCCCTGTACTACTGTCTCTTTGCACTAAGGGCTCGAAGTGCAAAATGGGGGTTAGGCACCTAAACTTTCACATTCCAATGCCAAGAGTATTTACACTAGCCAGCTGAGCAGGCAGCTGCCTATATTAAAACACAATAAGGACGGGTGGCTTCACCCCAAGCAGCCTAGGTGGTGGTGGTGCTGTCCATGTGCTATACACAAAACAGCTTAGTGGTTAGCACTCAGCAGTTTGGGGATTTAAATGTAGGTCTCCCACGTTGTGGTTATGTCTACACAGGAGCTGCTTGCGCAAGGGTTCTCATACAAAACCATGTCCACACTGCCATGTGCAAGCTGTGCTTTTGCACACGAGCATCCATGGCAGTGTGGATGCTCTCTGGTGCAAGAAAACTCTGCTGGCCATTTTAGCCAGAGGGGGTTTCTTGTGCAAGAAAACCCTGTCAGCATCCATAGTACCCTCTTGTGCAAGAGGGTTTACACCTGTTAGAAAAGAGCATAGCTCTTGCACAAGAAGCCCTCTCTTACTGCACTGTGGACTCGGTCTTGTGCAAGAACCTGCCACTGTAGACAGAGCCTGTGTGTACTCTGGTATGACTGACACTTTCAGTGAAGTTGTTTCTCTTCATATAAAGAAATTGAAGTGGCGTTTCACAAGCACTGGTGCCAATTTAGTTGCCAGCAGAACAGGGAGGAAGAGCTGTGAGGCTCTAAAATTCTAAATGTAGCAGTGAGGGCTGGATGAGTTCAAGGATTTCAGTGCCTCTGAATGGGAATCATTCTAAAATAAATAGGTCCATTGCAAGCAGCAGCTAGTAAAAACTGTTGGGTTGCATTCCTTACAGGTTTGCCACAGAGTGGGTTAATAGTTACTTTTTACATACAGGCTGGTTGTGTTGTTAGTTTTGCTCTGACAATAATACATGACTCACTTTGCACAATGGATATTAAATAGCAGTTAGTAAACTCAGTCACTGGAATTTCCATCAACTACTGAATTAGCCGATAATCGGGCTTGCTGCAGCTCTTTTTTTTTTTTAAATGTAAGGCTCTTACTACATTTAAAAAGCAATGTCTGGGACCCACTGTGCCTCTACCTCCCCCTGGAGACAGTGCTAGGAGGAACCAGCTTTTAAGTTGGCTTCCTCAGCACAGGCTCCAGCTCCACCCCCTTGCTGCCTCTAATAGAGAGGCAGCAAGGTGGCAGGAGAGCAATTAGTCCAGTAGTCACTACTCAACATTGCTTACATCCCTACTTTCAAATTACAATCTCAATCTGGGTAAACATGTCACACAACAGCATGAAACCACCCTAAAAATTAAAACCAATGTGCTTTTGTTGGGGGTAGGGCTCTTTTGGAGGCAGTTCTGATGCTTCCTTTCCTAGTGGCTCATGAACATCTCAGCTTTGGCTGTGTCACTCCACCCCCTTTCGTTTGCTCCTCCTTGTTGCACAGCCTGCCTGTCTTTTCCTCGCTCAGATCCACAAGATTTTGGCCTAGTTTTTCCTGCTAATTTTAACACCCAAGCTTTGTAAATGATATATTTGATTTTTTTTACAATATGCCTTTACATAATGATACAGGTCAGAGACCACAGTCTTTACATGTCTTTTCTTGTGCAGCCTAGTGGAGATTAGGAAGAATTGCCATTAGTAACCTAGCTGCTGAAAAGGGACTGTTCACCACTGGAGTGAGTGCACACCTTATTGTAAAAGCAAGAGACAAGGAATTCTGAGGCACCTTATAGACTAACAGATGTGGGTCTTTGCCTACGAAAGCTTATGCTCCAATACTTCAGAGGCATCCAGCGGCAGGTATAAATATGCAGGCCAGAATCAGGCTAGAGCTAATGAGGTTAATTCAGTCTGAGGTATGAACATCAAGAGAGGAGAGAAACTGCTTTTGTACTTGGCTAGCCATTCACAGTCTGTTTAAGATTAAACTGATGGTGTCAAATTTGCAGATGAACTGTAGCTCAGCAGTTTCTCTTTGGAGTCTGGTCTTGAAGTTTTTTTGCTGCAGAATGGCTACCTTTAAATCCGCTACTGTGTGTCCAGGGAGATTGAAGTGTTCTCCTACAGGTTTTTGTATATTGCCATTCCTAATAGCTGATGTATCCATTTATTCTTTTGCATAGGGACTGTCTAGTTGGCCAATCTATATAGCAGAGGGGTATTGCTGGCACGTGATGGCATATATTACATTGGTAGATGTGCAGGTGAATGAACCAGTGATGGAGTCCTTGGTGTAGATATGAGGGCAGCGTTGGCACCGAGGTTTGTTGCAGGGATTGGTTCCTGAGGTGCCGTGTATAGTTGCTGGTGAGAATTTGCTTCAGGTTGGCGGGTTGTCTCTGGGCAAGGACTGGTCTGCCTCCCAAGGCCTGTAAAATTGCGGGATCATTGTCTAGGACGGGTTGAGGATCACCAATGATGCATTGGAGAGGTTTTAGGTGATGGCCAGTGGTGTTCTGTTGGTTTCTTGCTTGGGCTTGTCTTATAGGAGGCGGCTTCTGGGTACATGTCTGGCTTTGTTAATCTGTTTCCTCACTTCCTCATGGGGGTAGCGTAGTTTCAAGAACGCTTGGTGAAGATCCTGTAGGTGTAGGTCTCTGACTGAGGGGTTGGAGCAGATGCGGTTGTACCTTAGTGCTTGGCTACAGACAATGGATCACATGGTGGGTCCGGGATGGAAGCTGGAGGCATAGCGGTCGGTAGGTTTCCACTATAGGGGGTGTTTGTGACCATCACTTATTTGCACCGTGTTGTCCAGGAACTGGATCTCTTGGGTAGACTGGTCCAGGCTGAGGTTGATGGTGGGGTGGAAGCTGTTGAAATCGTGGTGGAATTCGTCCAGAGTCTCCTTCCCATGGGTCCAGATGATAATATCATCAATGTAGGGTAGGTAGAGAAGGGGCATTAGTGGACAAGAGCTGAGGAAGCACTGTTCCAGGTCAGCCATAAAAATGTTGGCATATTGTGGGGCATGTGGCTGCCCATAGTGGTGCCACTGGTTTGGAGATATATATTGTCACTGAATCTAAAATAGTTGTGTGTGAGGATAAAGTCACAGAGCTCAGCCACCAGTTGTGCTGTGGCATCAGGGATACTGTTCCTGAAAGCTTATATTCCATCTATGTGCGGGATGTTTGTATAGAGACACTACATCCATGGTGGCTAGGATGATGTTCTCAGGAAATCAGTGGTGTCACAGACAGTTGGGAGTGCTGGTGGAGCAAGGGCTGATGAGAGTAGCTTATTGTAACTATCCCTGGCTTTGTTTGTAATGTGACCAAGTAGGGATGTTACATTTAGATTAATAGGCTAATTGAATAGTCTATGCAAATTGCATCCACGATTCGATTAGTCTATAAGGGCTGATTGAGTCCCCTGCTAGCCTCTTGTTCCACGCAGCATTTCAAAACAGCAGCACGACATTGAGTTCCCAGCTCCACATGCGCTGCTGCTCTATAGCCTCCCTGCCTCTTTCCTGATGCAGGAGGGGGGAAGCAACTAGTGGACTAGTGTATTGACTAGCCTCACTTACATGACTATGAACAACCCCTATTTCAAACCTACAACTCTGTCAGCATGTATCGCTCTAATCTCATGGATCTCGCTATTCAAAACACACAACCAACAAAGGTGCCAGGACTAGGCCAAGTGAGTGACTTGCGGTCAGGCAGGCTGGCTAACCTATTTTCACAGCTCTGAATGACCCTGGTTAGGAAGTGAGCTGCCTACAACGAGGTAAGTACAAAAACGTATTCTGGTTGGCCTCCCACACCTGACAACTGCCTATATCTGTATCTGATATTTCACATCTTGTTGTGACAATCATTCCTATGCAGAAAGAATAAAACAACACTTGCATAATATTTTGTTTAAATAGAATGATTTTTAATGCACTGGGAGAGAAAGGTGTCAATTGAGTGTGTACATATGCCATAATTAGTGTGCTCTGGTCACTCAACAATTTTTGTGCCTTAGTTAAAAACAAAATTATTGCATTTGTGCAGTATAAAATACTACCAGCTAAAGGATCCCCTAGAAATTTGTACAATTAAAATATACATGCTTTAATTACATTCATCAGAGCTTTTAAGTACACAAACCTGCTTTGCTTTGTGATCTAATACTGACATCTGTTGTAATATATAATCTCTTTTCCCTCAAAATGATGAACAGATTACAACTAGAAAGCACAAATATTATTAAAATGTGTGGTATATTGAGACAGACAAAAAAAATCTACACAAATACAAGTGCTTTAGTTGGAAAAATATATACAGTCAAACTATTCACTTACCTATCTTTGATTTTTATAATATAAAACAGTAAATATGTGCAAGTAGGTACAGGTATTCAGTCAAACTCCCTCATACAAAAATAGTCTTACACCTGTTTCACTTTTGGGGGGGAAGGAGGGAACAATTTTTTTTCTTTTCTTTTTTGGCTCAAAGATGAGACTAACACAAAATAGCTGTAAAGCAGCACACATTCACTTTTTTGGTTTAGCTAATTTGTACACTCTTCCTTTCATGGCTTAATAATCAAGACAAAAAACACAACAAAAGCCAGAGAACACACCTTACTTAGAAAAAGCATTGCATATTGAACTGCATTTTGGAAGACACCAATTCGGGGTGTGGGGGTGTGTGGGGGGGGAGACTCAAGATGGAAATCAACCAAACCACAGAGCCCTTTTACTACAATCTACCTGACATGACTCAACACCACTTTCCTTCAGAAATGAAATGTGAGTATGTTAACTGTAAGAGGCTGCACAGCATTGTGATTTCACTGACAGCTGTGCTTCTGGCAATCACCAGCCTCTTCATGTCTTTTCCTCAAAAGTGAGCTATTGCTTTAGCTGATGAGCCTCAAAAAAGTTAGCATGCATCAGGTTGTTCCTTGAATCTTGCTCCACAGTACAATATAGGTGGTGGTATTAAGTTAGCACCTTTACCAAACAAATCCATCTTGCATGTATTAAACTGAATATACTGTGATTTAAAGACCAAAATATATTGTATTAATTTATTCTCAACAAATCCTTCTAGAAGGCTAGCTTGATCTATGAAAGTCTACTTTTCCCCCTGGCTCATGGGCTGGCAACTCATAGGTATAAATACATCCCTGCAATTAAAAACATACGTTTAATGCATTTTTTTTTTTAAACACAAGGACCTAATCATACCCAGCTGGGCAATAATTTAGCTTTCCTCATTGTCACTGTATCTCTGAAAACTAGCCTGGAATTCCAGTCTTTGAAGGGTGTGTGTTTAAGACCAGACTACAGTGTACTGTACCAAGAAATTATTTTTGTGATCTGCAATAATATTTGATCCTAATCACCACCAGAGCCTCTCTAACTTTTTGAGAAAGGAAAGACTAGTAATAATGGTGACATAGAAAAGCGAATTAGAAATAACCGCAAAGTTTTTGCTACTGTATCACCTTTGCCTTCTTTTAAAGGACTAGTGAATGTTACAGGAAAATAGGCCTAAATGGTGCTTGAAGAGGAGGAAGATCACAACATGGAGTCATGTGTAAATATTAGAAAAACTATCATTACATTAACCTCACCGCTCTACTGTGCAAAATTCAGTTGTTTGGGGAGTCAGTGCCTAACAGGAAGTAGTAGAGTGGACTTGCTGAGTAACATTCCAGTGGCATGTGACTTCAGTAGTTCCTTCTCTCAAACACACAGTGTTCATGGCCTACGTAGGTCCATATTCCTAGCATCTTGTAGCTGTTTTATTCATAATATTTCAATGTCCCATTTCTGTGAGAATTCACTTTCCAGGAGATGATTTATAATTATATAGTTCTTGTCATAATAATTTCCTCCTAAAAATAGAAGTTGATTAAGGGATTAATAGTTAATTGAACAAAGTTTATAATTATACTTCATTAAAGCGTATATATTGTACACTGAAAACAGGCAGTAAAAATTCAAGCAGAACAACCACATGTCTATAAATACAGGAAACTCACTGTAAAGTTACTCAGACTTTTAAAGTGAATCACATGTTAAAAATGGACTTTACCCTCCAGACTCAGATTGCTCTAGGGGAGAGGTAGAGAGTGGTTTTCCATCACTGGCAGCAAAGCGCTGACTCTTATTACTTAAAAGCTTTGCACATTAATTTATTCAGCTGTAAAATGGCTACAGTACATATTCTGTCCTATGGTACAGTCTTAATGACATGTTCAAGACGAGCATAACCTTCCTCTCCTTTTGGACATGAGGGTCCTTAGCTTCTGTCTACTTTAAACACTCCTCTTCTCTCTCCATCATCTCCTCCTCTTCCCCACTACTTCCTCTCTGCTCTACCTGGCTGTAGCCTCAATCTTCACCTGTCTCCTCACCTCAGACTTCTTTCCATCCTCCACAGTCAAGCTCCTTGAGTGCTTGAATTTTTCATCTCAGTCCTCTCCACTCAAAGACTTTCCAGTGGAATGGGGAAGGTAGGTAAAACACAACAAAGAGTCTCTTCTTACTACTAGTTGTCCACATCTCTGCTGACTTTGTGCTCAACTCCTTGAGATCTTTCTCCTTAGTCTGCTGTGAGACTGTACCCTTTCAGCTCACCTTGCTGGTTGTACCTATGTCCGTCCCTAGCACGTACAGGTCACTAAAATACCGCTCGCAGAAATGAGAGGTGGGCTAGTCCTATAACAACTTCAGCAGGCTTATTGTCTACAGATACAGCATTGTATTTCACAGTACATTTCCTGATTCTTAAAACCAGACCAGACCAGTCTCAAGCAAAGGGGTTGTCACTACTTTTGCTTGAAAATCCCTTCCCCACACTCATCCTACCTTCCACTCCCTTCATCCCATCCCTCTGTTTCCTTGTATTATTGCCTTCTTTAAATTCTCTCCATTCTGTCAACTGATTTCTTGCATGCTAGCACTCAGAATGAATGTTAAGATTTCAGCTGCCAATTTCATTCACATTGTGGTAAAGGGGGTCGGTGGGAGTTTTGCTAGGACATAAAAAAAGCCCTTTTCCAGAAATGTTTTTGCATAAGAGGGCCAGTGCAGACAGCTAAAAACTGTTTTGCACAAAAAAGCCCCAATGGCGATCGGGGCTTTCTTGCGCAAAACCGCGTCTAGATTGGCACGGACGCTTTTCCGCAAAAAGTGCTTTTGCGGAAAAGCGTCCGTGCCAATCGAGATGCTCTTAACGGAAAAGTTTTTCCGTTAAAAGCATTTGTGGAACATCATGCCAGTCTAGATGTAGCCTACCAGTTTAACTTTGGGGAGAGCAGAATGACAGAGTGGCTGATCAAACAGCAGGAAGCAGGAATCAGTTACAGGGATTGATGTGAAACAAGAAATCTGTTTTTCTACAGTATTTTATTCTTGAATTGATATGTAGTTTTCAAAATGTTCCCCCTAGTAAATGTTAGTTGTGAAGTGGAAACTGGTGAAAGTTATCAAGATTTAGGGAGTTATGGAAATAGCTTGACTGTGCTTTAGTCTCATACACTAACAGTTTAAAAGTGATCACCAAAAATATGTAGCTGTAGATTGGAACATCAATCACTTCACCCAACAGAGTAAGTACAGTATATTGTTGTATTACTGTATAAGCTGGCTGAGGGTACAGATACTGGAATATCCTGGGCAGCCATGACTGCATAGAGCAAAATGTTTATGCTATTAAGAATATACTTTTCAGTACCTTTGACATCAAGAACCAGTTGATCATTGAGGTACGAACTGATGGTTCCATCTTTATTGAGCCTCCACTTCTGCCTAGCCTTTCCATGTTCTGTCCACAGTGCTACTTTAGCTCCAGGGATGTCTCTGCCACTGACGATATCAAGGCATGCATCATTAGCCTAAAAGATTGGGAGAAAAAAATAACAGACTCTAGTCATGGTGATGCCTCAAAATAAAAGTGCCGTAATTAGCAACAGACCCCTCCACTGAGCTCCAAGTGAGTAGATTATATGCACCACACTTACAGCTAATAGCTTGTTCACTGAGTAGATTAATATACATCATTCCTGATACATCTAAGGTCAACAAGCAGCTTTCTGGTGGTTTTACGCAAAGAAAACCACAAGCAATTCTTTACGCCTCTCTTTTAAATATCTGAAGGGTTACAGAGTCAGCAGAAGCAACCCTTCTAACCGAGGCTGAAAGACTTGGGCTAGAGAGGCCCATGCTAGCTCTCTAAAAATAGCTGTGCATACATCACTTAGCAGCTGTGGCCTGCACTGGAGCTCAGGATTTGATGCTTAGGAAGGGAATGGGCTTTGCAGCCTGAGCCACAACTTCAATGCACTATGTCTACATAGTTACTTTTAGAGTGCTAGCATGAGCCCGGATAGGTCGAGTCTGTCGGTCTGGGATGGGAGGCTCACTGCCCTGGCTTATGTAGACATCCCCCACTGTGACAGCTTCTTATGCAGACTAGAGAGCAAAAGGCCTTTACAATGTGAACACTGTATAAGTGTCTTTTCACAGTCAACTCCTATGTTCAAGAGTGCAGGTATTGGCAGAGCCCTCTCTGACCCAGGATGGCCCATATAAGGAGCCCAACCATCTAGGGAGTACTGCATCTCCCAAAGAGGAGCAGCCAGGGTGGATTAATTTTAATCATTTAAATTAGCAAGCAGAAAACCTTGATTTAAACAATCTATTTTAATCTGGTCTCAAATTGTATTTTAGTTATTTTCCTAAACAAAGATTCATTCTCACAGAGCTGATAACCATGAAAATGTGGATTTGAAATTAAAGCTAGCCTTTACACTATACGTGGTGCTCCTTTTTGTTAACTATGAGTATATACTATGCCTGTATATATATTTATGTATCTTATATTGCATTTACTCAGTTTAAATTTTGTGTTTTTATCACATTAGGAAATGGTGAATGATATTTCTGAGTTACAAGGTTTTAAAAAAAAATAGCGATTTGTATCAAGAATTATTTGGATGGACATTCAGATTAAATCAAAAGCCCATAAAAGCCAGTATTTGAATTTTTTAAACTAAATAAAAACGGTCTTAAATGTGCTGAATAAATGGAAAACGAAAGTTTATCAAAACATGTTTTGCACTTAAAACAAAATGATTTATTAAACAGAGGAAGTATTCTCTGTAGTAAATGAAATGAACAAATTGTTCTGGGTCACCATGTCCTTCAACATTTTGGAATTAGATCTCATCTTCTCACAGCTCATTTTTATTAATACATAGGAAGAGGAAGAAAACAAGCTTTTCTGCTTTTTCAATTCCCAATTGATTTAACTTTTCAGTGACTAGTTCATTCACTGAACCACTGGAATAGACAAACAGGAAAAAAAATATTCTCTGCCCTTGCAGAAGAAGCTACTGTTATCAAAAGTTAGTTTAACACTTCAAAAAACTCTAGGTCCAGGTGCTTAGCCAGTGACTTCCACCAATTCAGTCATTTGATTTTATTAAACTTGCTGGAAAAAAAATTATTGCTTAATACTTATTGAAATCTGTTAAAATGATTTAAATAAGTTGAGCTCTTTTAAGTTGACAATTTAAAACCAGAACCTGCATTTGATTTAACTCAAAACACCTTATTTAGATTTTTTAAATCTGATTTCTGTTCACCCTGGGAGCAGCAGCAGGAGCATTGCTTTTGCACTTGGGTTGCACTAGGTGGAGTTCATTCAAAAGCATCGCCAGGGACCTGCGACTCTGCACTGAACCTCACTCAGGGTTGTGTCTAAACAGCACAGCCTAGCACCAAAACTGCAGTTTTTCCTCCTCCAACTCGTGATATAATTTGTATTGTATGGATTAATACAATTTGTATAAGTTTTGCTGAGACAGTACTTCCAGCATATTACTATTGCGCATGCAAAGCAAAATGAGGAAGAATAGTGCCCAGTAGTTAGGGCTCTAGCCTGGACTTTGAAAATCCAGGTTCAAGTTCCAGTCCCTGCTCCACCAGTTTGATACTGGGCAAGTTACTTTGTCTTGTGCTTCCATTACCCATTTGTGAAATGGGGATAATAGCACTTTCCTACCTAACGGGCTAGCTGCGAGGAAAAACATTAAAGATTATGAAGTGCTGAGATACTATGGAAGTGGTAGGACACAAAACAGTACCCAAAAGATGGGAAGCAAAACATATCAGGGAAAACAGTGTCATAACATGCCTAGAGGTACATTTTACTCTCAGTGCACAAACATTTACACAAGAAGTGACTGTCCTATATTCATAGCAAATGTGCCTTTACCTGAAAACATGGTGGAAAGATAAAGAAGTTTGGCTTAAAGCTTTTTTTTTTTTTTTTTTTTTTAAATAACACTTTTCATTTACATAGAAACCAAAGCACTTGCACTGTGCTTTGCACTGTGCTTTATAAAGAGGGTTTGGGTCCTGACACGAGAAATTTCTGTCTAATTTAGACAGAGACAATACAAAGTAGAGCAGCAGAGTGCTTGAACTAGGGGCACTGGCCTGAAGTGGTTTCCAACTAGGAATGTTACATATTGTTTAACTGAATAGTTGATTAACCTCATGAATTCTTACCAGTTAGTCAACTATTCTATAGTCGCCAGGGGTGAGGCCAGCAGCCAGTGCACTCCAGCTCCACTCCTGAGGAGACCCCTGCCACTCAGCACTGCTGCCTCTGATACAGCAGCACAGGGTGCCAGGCAGGAGCTAGTCCATGACGGAAGCCAGTTTAAAAACCAGCTCCCCTTGTGGACTGGCTGCCTGTTGTCCTGCACTGCTGCTTCTACAGAGTTCCAGCCTGTGCTGGGTCCAGGAGCTGAGCTGGGCTGCCTGCCCGCCTGGCCTCTACTACACTTTAAATGGAGAGCTACAGCAGGGGTAGATCCTGGACCTGGCACAACCGTGGACCGAACCAGGCTGCTGGCCAGCCTGCTAACAAATTTACTGGTGGGGGGGGGGGCATGTAGTCTATAGCATTAACCTATAAGCTTTTCCAGCCTGTGCTGGGTCCAGGAGCTGAGCTGGGCTGCCTGCCCGCCTGGCCTCTACTACACTTTAAATGGAGAGCTACAGCAGGGGTAGATCCTGGACCTGGCACAACCGTGGACCGAACCAGGCTGCTGGCCAGCCTGCTAACAAATTTACTGGTGGGGGGGGGGGCATGTAGTCTATAGCATTAACCTATAAGCTTTTGCTTATCAGTCAATCGACTACACTATTACATCCCTATTTCCAGCACAGACATGGTTTGCACATTTTGGTTCAATGGTATTCAGCATTTCCTCCCACAGAAATGGTTCCAGCACTCCAAGGAGCAGACAGTGAGGGGTAGACAGAAGTGGAGCTGAAGGAGAGCTCCAATGGAAGAAAGGGGCCTGGGAAGAGGACGGCTATTCTAGGGATGCAGGAGTGGGCTATGACACAAGGAGAATGGGTAATACATTGCACTTCCATCATTCACTAACTCACCTTGGATTTGAAGAGTCCATGACAGTAGTGCCAGATTTGGGTATTCTTGCCATTGCATGGAGAAACACACACTGAAGTAGCTTTTGCATCTAATTGATTTCCAAGGACTGTCAAGTATTTATCCTGGGCTCGGTTCTTTATTCTGAAGTAAACTGCCGGCTGACAGAATTAGAAAAGCACCAGTCTATTATACATTTTATATAACCACATGTGAGGAAACCCTTCCATCAGCTCCCCCATAGCTATCTTTCCAACAGCAGCGTTCCCCAATTTTTCTATTCCAAAATGTGTTTTATATATTCAGATTCAAACAGAAGTTGTGAAATGGATACGGGGCATGAAAGAACATGCTGTGAAAAACTGTGAGACTAGGTATTGGAGGTAGATGGGGATGGCTTCTAATTTAAAGCCAGTCACATTACACTTTTTTGCTCATGAACACAACACAAAAAGGGCACTGAACTGGTATCGCCAATGACTCAGCTCATTTAAAAAAAACTACAGGGGAAGTCTGTAAAGCTATTGAGAGGTTTTAGCTTAAAAACCAGTTTTCAAGACCCACTTTAGGGCCAATGAAACAGTACCAATATAGTGCACTGTGACTTGTAGGGGGTCTTTATTGAAAAGAACGAGATTCAAAGCAGACAACAAAATTCCTCCTGGGATTTTTTTAAACTGAAATCTAAACAGGCTCATTTAACTCCTGTTCTAAAAACATCTGCAATGTGTACAATTACACCCCAACAGTAACAAGAATTTTCCTTATAAAGTCATTAAGGAAATAATTTTTGCCCAACTATGCAGTAGTAAAAGTCACTGGCATGTTTCACTATATTTTTGCTAGTTATGAAGTTGAAAACTTTTGAGTTTGCTCTGTTGCACATCACCATGAAAGCAAAAGAATACAAGCAAACAAGCTGCAGATTGTTTTTTGCAATATTGGCCAACTCTGTTTTGGGATAAGATCATATCCCTACACCAAAGACTCTGGCAGCTAGACAAATATGCATGCCCTTTAGTGATCCAAGCAGCTTTACATGCACGTGTAAAAACCAGCACTTTAAAAAAAATAGCAGGATCTTGTGACATTCCTTAGAGCTTCTATGATAACAGATGGACCTGGCAAATCTGCTTGTCCAAATGCATGAGACATGAAAGGGCAATGTGATGTTTCGGAAGTGAAAGGTTTTAACAGATAGCAAAAGTCTAGATCAGCTGTTCAATGGCAGGTGTGTGGAGCAAGCAAGCCCAGTGCCTAGGGTAGGGGTGGCCAAACTGGCTCACAAGCCAAATGCAGCACTTTTACCATTCAAGTACAGCTTGTAGAGCCCCCCAGTATTCCTCCATTCTCCACCTACCAGTCTGGGGGAGGGGAAGACTCAGGATTTTTGCCTTGCAGCAGGGAGGGTGAGTCATAGGACTTCTGCCCAGCAGGGGGGGGGGGGGGGGGG